CCATCGAGCGCTACTCCTGGATGGGAGTACCGCGTGAGTGGTTGTCCGCGCCACCGGTTTGGGGGCGGCGCAGGCGCAGGAGGCGGCATACCTCGAGATGTGGCGCCAACGACGGCTGGCCAAGGAGCGTCGTCGCGGCGAGTACGAGGAGATGCTCGAGCGCGACCTCGAGGAGGAGCGGCGTGAGGCTGAGGAGGAGGCGCGCCAGGGCGTGGCTGCATAGGTGGCCGCACAGTTCCCCACGTCGGCATTGCCCGTGCCGGAATAGCCCCCCGCGCCGGAACAGCTGCGCGCGGCCTGGAACACGACGTTCCCCTGGGCCGGCCCTGCGCCGACGCTCATCGATCTCACCGACCCCGAGGAGGAGGAGGAGGAGGACGACGCCGCCTAGGGCAGCGCCGCCTTGTAGTTTAGATTGTTTTTATTTTTCTTAAATGCTAATGTAGACGCATGGACTCTCGCCGACCTTCGTGACCGACTGTACTGTTTAATTAATGTTGTTTTTGTCAATATGCATGTGTTCTTTTTTTTCTTAGCACTGTCAAAATGGGTCGGGCCAGCATTGGGCGCACACGTCGACCCAAACGCGAAAGCGGACGTCCGTGTCCGCCTGGCTGACCCTAGTGTGAGTGGTTGTCCGCGCCACCGGTTTAGGTCGGCCCGTTGGAGTTACTCTTAGGTGCCGTAAAAAAAACCAGGTGCTAGAAGACATTAAGATCTAGACATGGTAGTGCTTTGCGTATTTTCTGATCGTAGCATGAAGGCGTTCATGGCGCACTATCGTCTCTTTCTTTTTATGCAGGGAAATACCTCGCCGGCCGGCACCGTTTCGGTTTATTATCCGTAGTGCGCTCCGGCTGCTCTGCATACTACGAAAGGGAAAGGAGCCAGCAGTACCATTTTTTATTTTTATATAGAAAAAAAGGAGTAGTACTCCCCCCGTCATTTCCGGACGGACGGAGTAGCACCGTAGCAGTTATCGTTCTGCAGAGCGGATTGATTAGAAGACAGTACTAGTACTTACTGAATTAAGAGACTGATTAGAAGAGGGTGGTACTATACGTAGCGTGCGTGCAAGCTTCGCGTACACCGTGGCGCCGTGCGGCCGTGGACACTACAGAGAGGTGCAGTAGCGTACGTACCCTCCCTCAAAAAGAAAGCAAGGAGATAAACAGAGGAAATTGATTAAAACATAAAGAGAAAAGGAAGGAGTAGTACGCGGCAGGGTGCCCCAACCTCGCGCAGAGATCCTCCCTTCCCTCCGAAAGCGGGACACGCACGGAACACAACGGGCAAAAGGCTGCTGGTGCACTAGAGTAGGAAGCAGTAACCCTCCCTCATCAAAAGCAGTACTGCATGCCACGCCATGCCCCTGTCCTCCTCCTCCTCCTCCTGCATGCCATGCCACACCAGCACCACATCCTAGATATCCCTCTGCCGGCCAAGCCAAGCATACTGGATAGATACTGATTGGGATTTATAGACACCTTTTCCCTCACACAGTGCGCACATCATATCAAGAATCGATCCAGAAGAGGCCATCATCAGAGGATAAAGGGGTGACCAAGACAGGCGAGGGAGCTGGGATCAAGAAGGCTTCTTCATTTGCTCGATCATCGAGAAGAAGAGCTGCAGTCAGCGGGAGGGAGCTAGCCATGGTGTCTCGGGGGAAGGAGGAGGAGGAGGAGGCGGCCGCCGGGTGGGAGGGGGAGAAGGAGGGGGAGATCGACTACGTGTTCAAGGTGGTGGTGGTGGGCGACTCGGCGGTGGGCAAGACGCAGCTGCTGGGGCGCTTCGCCAAGGACCAGTTCTTCCTCGACTCCAAGTCCACCATCGGCGTCGAGTTCCAGACCCGCACCCTCACCCTCCACCGCAAGCAAGTCAAGGCGCAGATCTGGGACACCGCCGGGCAGGAGAGGTACGTACGCCCCTAACCCCGTCTTCCTCCTCCAGCCCGGTCGCCTAACTCTGTTCTTCTACTACTGTTTTGAATTTCTCGATCGCAAACATGCAATCCTCGTTCCCGGGACATGAAATTCTGGGCGGCACGCCTAGTTTCAACTTTCAAACTACGTGACGTGCTGGTCATCTCGTCTTAGCGTTAGCTGCCCGACACCCTCCGCAACAATCCCTTGTTGGTGCCAGAGCAAGCACGCAAACTTTGCTGCATACATACATACACTTGCTTAATCTTTAGCACTAGCTAGCACCTTCTTTCCAAAGCTTTAGTTTTACAAACATTGGGTGGCTCTGTAGTTCCGCCAAGGACAAACAAAAGTTTGCGTACGTGTTTTCTGTATTTGGCCGCGTCCACACATGATTAGTGGAGCACATGCAGCCAAGAGCGATTAGTATTTTACCACTTAGAATAAGCGGTTAGCTATCTCAAAAACAATCAACAACTAAAAAAAGCGATCAATATTTTGGACCAGTGACTTGTTTCCGGATCAGGGGATCGGTCGATCGAGGCACGATGCCGGTCGGCCTCATCCCCCATCACATGCATTTAATCCGGCGATCACCAAATGGATCAGCGCAGCACGCAAGCTAGATAAGATGGAAATGCCGAGTGGTAGGCAGCTTTCTTCCTTTGGGGAAGGGAGAAGGCGAAAGCTACGGCTGCATTCAAATGCGGCGGCCACATGTCGATCCTGCTGCTGCTGATGCTGCTAGTAGTAAGGACGATTCTTCAGGCCACTAGAGCACGCCGACCTCTGAAAGCGATCTCTTCTCAGAGGAGAAGGAAAAGAAAAGAAAATGCTACTGCGCCTTTTCCTCCTTTCTAGGAATAGACCATCGGCGTAGTGGGGCGATCATACGTGCCCCAATTTGCGCCCGGATTATGACCTCTTTTGTACACGTAACGCCCGCAGGAGCTTTAGTGGCATGATTTTTATTTACATGGTTTCTTTAGATGTCACTGGAGTTGCTTTTGAGACATGGGTGCATTTTGTTCTATTTTCCTAGATTTAGCTTTAAAAGTCCTAGTTCTTGAAATCTTGAAAATTATGAAAATACTTACGGAGGAAGGTCTATCAGATAGAAACACGCCCCTATAAACTAAAATAATTTATGACAATTTTTGTAACCCGCGCGTAAATCAGAAACGACTACCATACTAAATCAGAAATGTGCTGCAAAAAAAAAGCATTTTATGACTTTCACACTAGTAGTGATTTTTCATCGGGTTTATAAGACTTTATTTAAAAACTTATTTGTGCCTATGACTAGAGTACCATTTCTCTACATATTATTCTATCTAGTCTGAAACATATGATGTTTTTATATGGTTATTTATCACACTTTGTATTACTTTTTCTACTACTATATTTAAGTAAAGTTTTAGAAATATCAGACTACAAAACTGTTTATTATCTCTGACAAATACAATATTATTGATATCAAACTAATCAAAGTATGCTTTGATTAATTAGTCATCAAAGATAGAATCTGTTTGTCAATGTGGCAACCACATGAAGCTTCCATTTTCTCAAAGGGAAAAACATCGCATTCGTGAAAGAAAAAAGACATCAAGATGACCAGGTTCGCATAGACCGAACATCGGCGAAGACCGTTGTTTTAGAACCACTAGTGCATGCCGACCTCTGGAAGTGATCTCTTCTGGAAAAAAAATTCTACTCCCTCCGTCCCATAATATAAGAGCATTTTTTACACTAATAATGCTTTTATATTATGGAACGGGGGGTCCAAATTTGCATAGACTAAGCATTGGCGAAGACCGCTTTGAAGTTAGTTGAGGTTTCAAAAGTGAACAGTCTCGTGCTTAATTCTAAAATTCTGTTAGGACCGCTTGTGTGTTCTAGGGTGAAAACTGAACCGGAAGCGAAGTCCAGGGTTGAGGGTTCAATAGTCAATGCTGGACTTTTCTTCCAAACCAAAAAAAAAAACACGTAGACTTTTCCAAACAAGGAATTTTCTTCACAAATTCGAGCACTTTGACATGTTGAAATGCGAAATGTTTGACTGATTTTTTCTTACTGAAAAACAGAGTGCGTGTGACTGACAATTGTGCATGCGCGTGTTGGGAGCAGGTACCGGGCGGTGACGAGCGCCTACTACCGGGGCGCGCTGGGCGCCATGGTGGTGTACGACGTGACCCGGCGCGCCACCTTCGACCACGTGCCCCGCTGGGTGGAGGAGCTCCGCGCCCACGCCGACGGCTCCACCGTCGTCGCGCTCGTCGGTAACAAGGCCGACGCGCCGCCGCACCGCCGCGAGGTGCCCGCCGACGAGGCCGCGCGGTTCGCCGAGGAGCAGGGGCTCTTCTTCTCCGAGGCGTCGGCGCTCACGGGCGACAACGTGGAGCGCGCCTTCCTCGCGCTCCTCGAGGAGGTCTTCGCCGTCGTCTCCCGCCGGGCGCTGGAGCTCGACGAGGCGCGGCGGACGCGCAACGGCGGTGGTCACGACGGCGAGACGCTGTCGCTGAGGGGCACCACGGTGGACCTGCACGACCCCATCATGGAGACCAGCGCCATGAAGAAGACCGCCTCCTCGCAGTGCTCCTGCTCGTGACCGGCGGCGACATGATCGACGACGTGCAATGATTCATACCGTATTACACCATGCGTTCCCGAAGACAGAACAAGTTTAGACATGTAAAGCATTTGTTGTACATACATTGTGATAAGAAATGGTTGGATTCATTTGCCTCTTCATCTGTGAGACTGTGAGATTGATCAGAACTTCTTTTCCTCCCAAAGATCATTCACAGGGCTTGTTAGGGATGCATGGGATTCACATGAATTTCGCCAAAAACAGCAGCTCAATTCAAACAACACTGAGCGTAAGTTCGACATCCCAGAGAAATCTAGCGCACCTTCATACCAGCAAAAAGTAAAGATGGGAAGGATATGAGATTTTCTCAAAACTAGTGCGGACAATTTTATCCGTAACGCGCAACATTACAACTCATCGCAAACTGCTGCCGTATGAACAACAACAATATCGGAGCAACTAATAACTGACAGGTCATTTCCTGCTCAATCTTCTTCTCCTTCAGATGGCAGGTCTTCCTTGAACCATGTGTAGAGGCCTCCGTCCAGATGGAACACGTTCTTGTAGCCGTTTAGCACCAGCAGGTACGCCGCTATCAGAGACCTGCCAGGGTCGAAGCATAATCAACTAAATTAAACATCGGTGCTCACAAGTTTATCTATGAGTGTCCACGCAGAGCAATGCATACTTCTAAAGAAAATGCCGTTTTCTTCTTAAAGTTGCAATTCAAGAACTAGAAAATGATCTCAGCGTGGCTTTTCAAACTACAGGAATGAAAAAGCTGAATGACAATTCTCCAGCTGCCATCATGAATTTGCATCAATTATTATAAATTTGAAGTTTATAGCATTGCAGTTGCAAGAAATTAATACTGCTGGTTCTCAAATGTGATTTACCAACCTGGAAAAAGAAAAAACTACTCCCTCCGTTCCAAAATAAGTGTCATGGTTTTAGTTCAATTGGAACGGAGGGAGTAATATCTAAATCTCAATGGTCAAACACATCAAGAAATGAGAGCAATCCAGAAATGGGGGAACAAGCGAAAACTATCTACTGGGATTAACAACCACTTAACAAGTACTAGCCCCCTCAACTTTGCTGCATATGGATGTGCAGTACGGCATGGATTGAAAACTGTGTCTGGTCTTAGCCTGACTGACTACGCTTGACGTAAGCAAATTCACGATACTGAATTTGGTGCATTTTACACAAAATACTTTGCAGATTTTTTTAGAAAGAATGCTGTTAGCATCCATTCCTGGATAGATTTTTTTCCAAAACACTTTCTCAAAAAAGACCGGTAGGGGCAGAGCTATTTTTTCGAAAAGGAGGTTCAACCCCTGGCCTCTGCATCATATGATGTACACAACCATCTTCATAAAAAATAGTTCTCGTTAACAATCGCAACAGTACACAAAAGATAAACAAGGCCAAAACACAACTGGCTGATAACAGGATTACATGACTCACACACATAACCTATCATTGGATCGCCATCCTAACCGATTGAACGTATCTTGTGCGACGGTCTCCCAAGGGAGACGGAGACCGTAGCAGAGAGCAGGGGAAGAGCCTGGTGGCATTTAATTAAGTAGAGGCTGCGAGACGCTGAATTCTACCACTGAGATTTGAACACGTGTCAGCTTGAAGATGACACTGCCCTCCCAGGCTCCCACTACTTGGCCAAGAGCACATCCACAAATAGCATGGTTTTTAATACTTGGTTAATTTTATTGGTCGAGTAACTGGACCAATTAACAAATATCTGCTTAATATATCACAGAATCATCTATGCTTGCTCACAGGATAATATATTAGTAATAGTATTGAAAATTCAGTCATGACCAATCAACCACCAGTGTTGACAGTAAGAAAATAACTAAACAAAACCCATGGTAGAAACAAAGAGAATGTTCAAATTGCAAAACAAATTTTCACTAACAGAGAACCCCGACAACAGAGAATATCTTTTAATGCGAAGATTGGTTAAACCTAGTAACAAAATATGCACAGATCTCATTTCACGGAAGATGCAAGAAATTTTGCTTAAGCCAAATCACATTAATAAACAGTATCAGCAGTTCAGCACGTTCATGACAATTGGAAAAGGACCGACAATCCATGGAAATAAAAAAAGTTTAACAATAAATAATACTCCCTCTGTTCTATATTACATGTCGTGGTTTTAGCTCAACCATGACAAGTACTCCCTCCGTTCCAAATTACTCGTCGTGGTTTTAGTTCAAATTTGAACTAAAACCACGACGAGTAATTTGGAACGGAGGGAGTAACATGGAACGGAGGGAGTATATGGGCAACATAATATACCTAGATTGCTTCCCATCAGGTAGATTCTGTGTTGGCTTCATTGTTCCTCCTGCTGAACATGCTACAATTATCTTTGAATCTTTATTAAGTTTTTCTTCAACGCCTGCACAAAGATGGCATATGCGTCTGATTGCCAGTACATGTATAAATGGTGAGGACACAGCAAACAGAAGTACAAAAGATGTTACGTACTTTTTATGAACTCAGGATTTTCTTCTGTTCCTGCAAATATGCCAAAGAAAGCAAATGCAGCCCTCCTTGCAATATCCCATGCTGTCCACTCCTTTATTAATCTGTATATTTGTACATTAACAGCACCAGGTGGGTGAGCCTGCACAAAAATAAATCCATAACTGTGGTGCAACTTTCCCAGATTGAAATATAAAATTTCATTGTATGAAGCAGCACAATATGAAAACAAACTTTTGACATTTTTTTAGGCATCATTGGAGAGGATTTGATCACTGTTAGCCGTTTAGGTCCTACTAAGCAGACTTCTAAATTTATGTTGGCTATTTGCATCAGCAACATATATTATATCTCCAGTTATTATATAATTGTGCATTGTACTCATCATAGTGCTGTCGATTCAATACATCATCATTGATACACAATTTGCTTCAGCTATCATTTCGGGTTGATAAAAGACACAAAAAAGATAAGTAGGCAACAATGTAAAAGTAAGTTTCTGCCCTAAACCCAAGAGCTTGAGACAGCAACTTTAAGATACCTGTTTGAACTCTGCTTCTGGTCTGACATCGAGAATTACAAAGTTGTTTTCGTTTTGAAGGCGCAGTGCTTCCTTCACATCAACACTACGTACCTGCAAAAACAAACAGGAGAAACACCTCTGATGTAAATGGCGGCTGCTAAGCATAGAATGCTCATCTTCAGTCAACAGTAAATTAAGCTAATAAACATATGAATCAACAGGAATAGGTAGGTAAGTCCTCATAAATGTCACAACAGTGCCTATTTCACATATAATCTATAATTGTTCTACACATACATATGTTACTCTAACCCTCTTCATAAGACTTAAGGTTAAGAAGTTTGCAGCAACCTTTCATATATGTTTAATGCAAAAATAGTTAACAGTCAGAATGGAGGTTATTACCCGCTTCTCTACTAGGAGTTGCCGTTTGATCTTCCATTCTTCTTCAGCTGCAAAAAAAAGGGGGTTAACATGCCAAGATAGCATCATGCATAAACAGAGTAACGAACAGTTCCATATCAAGTAAAAGGAGCCAAGCGTATTCACAGTACCTGGAGATTTCGCAGTCTTAGTGGCAGCACATGTTATCCGCAGCGAGCGCACACCATGCGCCCGGTAATGTTTTGCCGCCTCTAATGGGCGCCAAGAATGACCAGATGAGAAGTCTGAGCTGGAGGATATCCTTGACGAGCAAGGAAGGTTGGCTTTCACTATGGAGCTAGCTGCGATCATCGTGGTCATGAGATAAAGAACAGCAAAACTTGGGGGAGAATCAGAAGAGAGCCTAGCTAATCCTAAGGCTGCATCATGTTGCTGGAAGGAGATATTTTTTGGATGTGCAAGTGTCCAAAGGACCTAAATGGTTCTGGATGGGATGTCCCAGCATATCTGAACTAGTGGTTGAGGTTGAGCAAGTGTTGAGATGGACAATCTGGAGTCTGGCTATGGGCTTGCCCTGGCCCCACAAAACAAATTCACCATCAATCTTTTATTGGAAAAACTTACCACTGCTTTTCACTTGCCATGAAGTAATTTCTGGTGTTTGGCTCATACAAATTTCTAGCTTTCCACAAATAAAATGGAACAGACGGACACAGCAGCATTTCACTAAAATCCAACTCTTTATTAGGTACTCGCCAATTACCACCTACAAATGGGAACAGTAAGGTGCCCAAACAGATTTGCTCCCTAAAACCCGAATCATCGACTAAACAAGAGTACACCAAAGTCCAGAAAATGGAGACCCTAAAAGTTTCAATTCAGAACACAAACAAATGAAGCCATCACCAGTTCCCCAGTGCTCATTCACTCCAGTATCCATCTTCCTTCTCATCCTCCTCCTCGCCCTCCGCTTCACCAATCTCCATTGACGCCTCCTTGAACCGCTTGACATTCTCCAATGCCCCCTTCCGGAACAACCCAATGTCCACTGCACCTGCAACCATATGGTATCCCCTGTGCTTGAGCTGCTCAGCTGGGTCATTGGGCATCGCAAACCCACCCAAGTAAGCCGCATTGGTTTCCGGAGCAGCGTCCTTCTTCTTCCTGGCCTCCAGCACCTTCCTCTCAGCCTCCCTCAGCGCCGCTCGCACCTTCCTGTTCCCGGGATCCCACAGGTACCCCATGCTCGCCGACAGGTCGAGCGGGCCCATCTGGACGACGTCGACCCCTTCGACGGCGGCGATGGCGTCGATCTCCGCAACGCCGGCGGCAGTCTCGACCTGGCAGATGATGAGGGTGTCGTCCTCGCAGCGGGAGAGGTAGGAGTCGTCGAGGCCGTAGGCGGATGCGCGGACGATTGGGTAGGCAGCGCCACGGACGCCGCGGGGCGGGTAGCGGCAGTGGGATACAGCCTCCGCGGCAGCGGCCGGAGACTCGACGGCGGGAAGCATGAGGCCCGCGGGGCCGAGGTCGAGCGCCTTCTTCGCCCAGACGGGGCAGGCCTCCGGGAGGCGGAGGACGGCGGGGGTGCGGGCGGCGTCGAGGGCGCGGAGGCAGGCGAGGGCCTCCGTGATGCCGCCCGGCCCGTGCTCCATGTCGACGACCACGTAGTCGTAGCCGGCGAGCGCGGCGATCTCGGCGAGCGTGGGGGAGAAGGAGAGGAGGAAGAGGCCGTAGAGGGTGTCGCCGGCGGCGAGGCGGGACTTGAGGGACGGGACCGGGGCGAGGAAGTCGGAGGCCGCGGACGCGGAGGCGGAGATGGCCCCGGCGGCTCCGGAGCGCCTGCGGGGGAGGAGGGAGAGGCGGGGCGGGGTTGTGGGCTTGGGTTTCGGCCCGAGGAGGAGGTGGGAGACGGACGCGGCGGCGGCGATAGAGGCGGCCATGTGGGCCAGTCGGCGGTGAGCGGCGGCTTCGCTGGTGGTTGGGGGATCTGCGACTGACGAGGCCGGCGGCGGCGGCCGGGGAGTGTGGGGGGAGTGAGCGAGCGTCGTGTCACTTGTCACGTGCCGCGTGGATCTGGCTCGGCTGGATCCGCGGAGCACGCGCCGGTGGGCGCTAGCCGTCGGATTTTGGCGGTCCTTGGTGCGATCTACGGACAGCAAATGTCCAACAACTCCCCTGAAGAAAATGGTTGGTAAATTGATGCTTGTTTCTCCTTGATCTATTCAATACTCCCTTCGCTCCATAATATAAGACGTATTTTGACACTACTAGAGTAGTAGTCATATAATGTAATTCTTTGATGAGTTTGTTCGAGCCATTCGCTCACATGGACATAGTCAAAGCGGTATTTGACCTGCAATGGGTCCTGCGCTGCTACTCGGGCTCATCTCTAGCCGTTGCCGCCTCCTCCTCCTCCACAAAAAAGCTAGGGTTTTGGCCTCCCGTCGGCGCCGTCGCAAGTCCGCCTCCTCTTCGGTGGCTAATGTGGATACTACGCCAGGTTGATCTTTGTTTTCTGCATGCAATACTCTTATTTACGATGGATGGCAGCGCACATGATTTCTCTACTGTATTGTCGGTGAAACTGATCATCTGTTGCATTTGACTGGCTGACAGGCCCTGCACTTGGCCTTTTCCGGACGAGGTGGATGCCACGTACAACGTAATGTGACGTGAAGCCATCAGACTTTGGGGAGGACGTTTGTCTTCCTGGAATATGACTTTGTGATTCAGACGTCTGCATGGTAAAGTAGCACCCAAAGTTTTAAACAAGAGAGTAAAGTGGCTGAAATGTGTTGGCCATGGCATTTTGGCCCGCCATAAAGGCGGGATAGCGCAAATGTGCATGTTGGCGCGGCAAACAGGCACCAACGCCAGACCAATGAACGAGAAAACAGAAATGGACGTACCGTGAAGCTTCTAGAAGGTTTCAAAGGATCCCGGAGGGGTCCGGAAGTCCACAAGTAGGTCCACCATGACCCAAGGGCTGGCATGGTGAAAGGATCGATATGGTTGACTAGAGGGGGGTGAATAGGCAACTAACAATTTTTAGCTTTTCTTTACCAAATTAAACTTTCCATCAAAGTAGGTAGTCTAGATGTGCAACTAGGTGAGCAACCTATATGATGCAACAACAACAAGCACACAAACAAGCAACAGAAGTAACACTAATAAGCTTGCACAGTAAAGGTACGAGATAACCAAGAATGGAGCCGGTGAAGACGAGGATGTGTTACCGAAGTCCTTCCTTTTGAGGGGAAGTACGTCTCCGTTGGAGCGGTGTGGAGGCACAATGCTCCCCAAGAAGCCACTAGGGTCACAGTATTCTCCTCACGCCCTCACATAATGCGAGATGCCGTGATTCCACTATTGGTGCCCTTAGAGGCGGCGATCGGACCTTCACAAACAAGGTCGGGGCTCTCTCCACAACTTAATTGGAGGATCCCAACTAAACCGCGGAGCTTCACCATAATGGAATGTGGCTCTGAGGTGACCTCAACCGTCTATGATGCTCAAACACCCAAGAGTAACAAAATCCACATAAGAAAGTATGGGGGAAGCAAAAATCCTTTGGTAGAAGTGTAGATCTAGGTCTCCTCCTTTAATCCCTAGCAAATCAACAAGTTTGAGTGGCTAGCAAGAGAGATCGGGCAAGAGAGCTTGAGTAGCATTAATGGTGGAGTGAGAGAGGTTAAAGGTAGTTGTGTTAGGTGGAAGAAGCACCCTTATATAGCAACCCTAAAAATCCAACCGTTATTGTGTTTTCAGTACTGCAGCGGTATAGCCGCTCCTTGTCTCGGTACAACCGAGACTCACAGTTTACGTGCAGAACCCTACCAGGCGGTACAACCGGGCGACCAGGCGGTAGTACCGGTTGAGGAGAAAAAATGGACCAACCGCCCAGCCACCGCTCAACCACCGCATAAGAACAGAAGGGAGTCACCCCTGAGTGCGGTAGTCGAGCGGTACAGGGCTGGTGCAACCGCATGGCCTTGAGCGCTCGGGCGGCTAAGTCCTGAGCAGTAGAACCGCTCCGGACACCGGTGGTACCGGTACGACCGGACCAACCGGGCCACCACCGCCCGAGTACCGCATCAAACAGAAGCCTGACCGGTACTTGGGCGGTGCCTGGCCGAAACAACCGCCCTAGTCTTTGCTGAGCATGTTGGCGGTACCACCGCCCGGAAGCAGCGGTACAACCGCTCGATCAAAACTGGTCAGCACAAAGACCCAGCGGTACAACCACTCCAGAGAGCGGTACACCCGCTGGGAACCCACAATAAGCAGTAGGAAAGAAAGGGGAAGAGCTCTCTCTCACAGTTTAGGAAGGCAAGAGAGGGTGAGGTAAGTGTACGTGAAATGATGCCCCCAACACTTTCCAATGTGGATTCCCTCCTGATAGTACGGGTTCCCTACGACCAAAAGAGATAAAAACAAGTAGAAAACACCGTCTTCGATCTTTTTCTTTCAGAGAGAATAGCTAACCGAAGAAGGCCTAAATACCGAAACCTGAAACACTTAGCACAAGATTAGACCAACAAAGGGTTGTCATCATCATCCAAAACACAAAGTAGGGAAATGTCCTTACAATCTCCCCATTTTTGGTGGATGATGACAACACCACGATTTGCAAGTGGAAAGTCTAGAAAATGTAGACGGGACTCCCCCTAGATGTGTGCCCCAAATTGAGAAGGCTATTTGAGAGCACACATTAGGGACGAGACTCCCCTTAGATTTTATAGACTCGCCACTCCTACTAAACATGGTGAGCAATAAGACCATAATATGAAGGTAAAGATAATAATGGAATACACAACAATATCACCGATAATAAAGATAGATAGCTAGATAAGCACATGTCTTACACCATGCAAGAAGATATAAGCAACAAGATTAGCAAATCCTGAGACCTATAAAACGGTCTCCCCCTTTGGCATCAAGACACCAAAAAGGAAAAAGAGCGAAGCTAGCGTCCCAAAGCTCAATCATCCTCCTCTGACTGCTCGGTAGCATCTAGATCCGCATCATCATCAGACTCGTCATCGTCGTGATCGGATTCCTCCAAGATATCATCCGTTGCAGCAAAGGAGGTGGAAGGCTGGCGAGGGACCTCATCATCAGACCACGTGCTGTGAGCAGAGATCCAGCACTCCTCCGGTGTGATGCTCTTCTCAAAACCACTATGGACAGGCATGTTGAGGTGCTTCATCATCGCAATCTGACGACGCCGAGCAAGCTTCTCATTGACATGGGCCTCATACAACTTCTTCCGAATATCCGTCTGGAGGCAGAAAGTCTTCTTCACCTTGGCTGTGAGCTTGGCCACCCACAAGGGCTTGGCCCCTAGCTCCATCTCA